ACTTATCTATCTAGTATCTTTGTGAAACTGAAATGACCCTCTTTACAAATATGTTTTAGGTCGTGCTATTCATTATTTCAACACCGAGGCGTTTTATGCAGAAGTTGACAGAGTTCTAGTTAAATATGGAGTTCTTTGCTACTATAGTACACACTTCCCAACTATATCAAGGTATATAGTACACACTTCCCAACTATATCAAGGTATACAGTACACACTTCCCAATTATATCAAGGTATACACAGTGAATCCCAGATATATGAATATTGAATATATAGACCGTCATAAGTTTTCTGATAATTCTAAAGAAACTTCTTTTTATTTTTAATTCAAGGTGAATTAATAGCCCTGAAATTTGAATGCAATTGATATATTAGAATTAAACTAAATTTTTCCGCGGCATTTGATCTTAAATATGTAACACGACATTATAAAAAACTCTTGCTATGTATTCATATATCTGGAATTCACTGTAGTACACACTTCCCAACAATATTAAAGTATACAGTACATACTTCCCAACTATATCAAGGTATACAGTACACACTTCCTAACTATATCAAGGTATATCGTACACACTTCCCAACTATATCAAGGTATACAGTACACACTTTCCAACTATATCAAGGTATACAGTACACACTTTCAAACTATATGAAGGTATTCAGTACACACTTCCTAACTATATCAAGGTATATAGCACACACTTCAATATCAAGGTATACAGTACATACTTCCCAACTATATCAAGGTATACAGTACACACTTCCCAACTATATCAAGGTATACAGTACACACTTCCTAACTATATCAAGGTATACAGTACACACTTCCTAACTATATCAAGGTATACAGTACACACTTCCCAACTATATCAAGGTATACAGTACACACTTCCCAACTATATCAAGGTATACAAGTACACACTTTCAACCTTTAAAAGTATTGTAATGCTACATTTTATTTTGTTTTTGTTTCATTGTAATTTTTATTTAGTTCCAATTTTAAATATGGTGAGAAAATAAACAAGATTTTTTGGACCTATCTCATCGACCGTTTAGACGGTCATTGGCCGGTAAACAAGTTTTCGGGTCACGTGATTAGCTGGCGCCGACGAGATTTCTACATGAACACCCTGGCTCCTCCCTACCCAGACCACACTCGTACTATAGAAAATATTACACAACAACGTGGGACGTCGGTCATAGGTATTTCACGCGGCATTTTGTATTCTTGTGAAATTGATTTTTCTGATCTGCCTCTTAAAAAAGAAAATTGATTTTAATGATCTTCATCTTAAAAAAGTAAATTGATTTTAATGATCTTCAGCTTAAAAAAGAAAATTGATTTGAATGATCTTCATCTTGAAAATAAAATGAGTTAAATGATCTTCATCTTAAATAAGAAAATTGATTTTAATGATCTTCATCTTTAAAAAGAAAATTGACTTTAATGATCTTCATCTTGAAAAGAAAATTGTTTTAATGATCATTATCTTGAAGAAAATAGATTTTAATGATCTTCATCTTAAAAAAGAAAATTGATTTGGATTATCTTCATGTTATAAAGAAAATTGATGATCTTCATCTTGAAAATAAAATTGATTTTATTGATCTTCATCTTATAAAGAAAAAAGATTACTATTTTTAAATTTTCTAGCACTGTCGAAGGAGCTGGAGACGTACTCCCCCATGGTGAACCTGAGGGAGAAGATGGGGGACAAGGAAGCAGACTCACTACTCGCAAGGTTTGCACATTTATTATTTCTCAGCTGGTAATTTATAAATAGATTGAGGTAGTTGAACTAAGCATGGCTGGTTTAACTTCTCAAGTTTTTATGTGTAGACCAGAGTAAGTAGCTGAACATGCCGTACATAGTTCAAGTTCTTCTTCCTTTATTATTTATAAAAAGAACTGATAAACGATTACATTACTCGCATCGCAATTAAACTTTAATTTTCGAAACCTTATATTTTTGCATCACTGTACGACTTACGACAGCGTTTCAAATATTTATGTCATCAGGTTACAAAGGTATGAGACTTAGAAAATTAGTGTTTGAAAAGAGTATTTAGTTCCTGAATATCTTAGGTTTCTCCTGGAGTGTGAAAAGGCAGGGGAGGAGGAGGGAGAGATTGTTTTTTGTTTGTTTGTCTGGTTGCCTGATCATAAGTTATGAACCCTTGGAAAGATTTGCTTCGAATTTTGATAAGGGAACTCAGGAATGTTTTTAGCTTGGTTTTGAGATTCTAAGTTGAGTTTTACAGGGGTAAATAGCTAAAATAGTAATTTACGACAAAATGCGAGTACCCTGGGCTACGTTGGGTAATCAGATCAGATAATCAGTCAAGTTTCCCTCATATTAAAAGTTTTCAGTGGATATTGAAATTAAGCCCCGTAGATTAGAGTTATCTCACAAACAAGTTTTGACCTCTGTAGAAAAATACTTGAGAGGTGTGAAGAAAAAAAATATTTATTTTGGGAGCATGAATTTAATTCCTAATATTTAGGAGAATATAATACACATATAATGGTAAAACACAAGATTGGGTTCAATATAACATTATCTGTTTTTAAAATATAATTGATACTTTCAAAAAAGCATATTATTGCTACATAAAACCTGATGAAAATTATGTGATAAGTAAAAAAATTCTATAAAATAATTGCTTCTAACTGATATGTTCATTTAACAATAAATAATCTATACTTATAAAATTTTCAGAAAATGATGAAATTACGGATTCCTTATCAAAATATCTTCTCTATACATAAACATTTTTCAACGTCAAATTTAGGAAATTGCATTTTATTTCATTTATAAATTCTAATCTAACATGATTTTGCATATTATGCAGGTGTAAGTCCACAAATGTAGGCTTTCAGAAGGAATAGAAAATGCCTAAAGATATCAAGATATGACGAATAAAAGCTGTAATTAGATCATTGTTTCCCGGATTTTCTTCAGAATATTTTGAGATTTGTAAAATTATTTAAATGTAATCCTATAGTGCTGGCTAAACGTTGGCAGGAGAAAAACAAGAAAGAATATGAGACTGAGTTTAATAATCCCGTCAGGCAGTGAAATTATTGGAAATTGTAACTAAAATTAGACTGGAGAAGGAACTGAAGTTTTGATTTTAAGTTACTTTTCATTTAAAGATGGGATCGTCTTATTCACAACGATATTCTTCAAACCAAGGTTCTTTAATAAGGTTTCACTCTCTACTCTCTACTCTCAAGACGCTCCAATGTATGTAGAATGTCGTCTCCTAAGATAGATAGATAAAAATCTAATATGACGTCACAGATTTTAAAGTCAGGAGTGACGTGATTTTAGGTTTTTATCTGTCTTTCTTAAGAGACGACATTTTCCATACATTGGAGCGCATCGAGTTTACGCAACCTTATTATACAACCTTGGTTTAAACCTATCTTATCAATATTGAATAATGTGACGTTTTTTAAGTGTTCTTTCTGCAAGCAAGCCAGAGAAACCACAATCTTAAATAACTACTTATAAAATGGAAAGAGATGGATAACTCAAATCTTCTTAATCAGAATATGTGTTCCTGAATCTGATGGTACAATTGTGAATATGACACGACATGGAGCGTCATTTAAAACGTCTGGACTCCCTTTTTAGACTCTTTATTGCAAAATTGTTTTTAAATGTTTTATTAATCTGACACTGAAATATAGAGAGGTCGCAGGAATGCAAGTAAACCCCGAGAAGGGGTACGTAATTGATAAAAAACCATTTAAAAGTAAGTTTCTTTATTAGTATTGGAGAACTTGATATTTATATAATAAACAAGACATTCATATATTTGTATATAAATATGTTGCCTATAGCCGGCAAAACGGCTGGACCGAATAGGCGAAAATTGTTTGTGGTCACTCAAGGTTGGCCGGGGGTGTTTAAAGTTGTTTTTCAGCAGTTTTTCAACATTTTTTTTTAAAACTTTTTTTTTCACCGGCAACGCCAGGCCCTTCAGCTAGTATTGAATATAATGATAATAATATCGAAGAAATATTTCTAGTTCTCACACTGTGGTTGTAGTAAAACATAGTTTTGGTCTGGTGAGTAGGGAGTAGAGTAGTGAATATTTGGTTTTGTTGTGGTTAAACTTCATATTGTTATGTGCTTGTAGATAAATGTGGAATATACTTGGTGTGGTTGTGGTAAACCCTCATATTGTTTAGTGTTTGTAGAGAAATGTGGAATATACTGGGTGTGGTAAAACTTCATGTTGTTTAGTGCTTGTAGAGAAATGTGGAATAAACTTGGTTTGGTTGTGGTAAAACTTCATATTGTTTAATGCTTATAGATAAATGTGGAATATACTAGGCGTGGTTGTGGTAAAACTTCATATTGTTTAGTGCTTGTAGAGAAATGTGGAATATGCTTGGTGTGCTTGTTGTAAAACTTCATATTGTTTAGTGCTGTAGAGAAATGTGGAATATACTAGGCTGTGGCTGGTGTAAAACCTCATTTTGTTTAGTGCGTGTGGAGAAATATGTGGAATATACTTGGTGTGGCTGTGGCTGGGGGAGAACCTGCCAACCATTTTGTGATCAATCCTGCCAACAGCCTTGGCTAAAGAGAGTCATGAAGGAACATAAAACAATTAATCATTTAACTAAATATAGATTATATAATGTTCGTAAAAAGAAACTATGCAATCCTAGAATTTTAAAATTTTCATTATTTTTTCCTGTTTTTGACCTAAAAATTCCCTTTTTAAGTTGGGGAATATTTTAGAATTATGCAACCAAAAACGGAAAACTTTTTTTAACTGCTTTACGGTTTTTATCCATAAAATTTTTTTGTCGATTGGAATTTGATTGATTGATTGGTTTGTTGTATAGGGAGGACCTGTTACCTACATTGCCCCTGAAACTAAGGATGTTTGGTTTTGTAATTGTAAACAAACTGAAAACCGACCTTTTTGCGATGGAACTCACAGGAAAGTTTTATTTTATCTGAGACATAGTTTTTTTTTGTTGGATTTGATGAAAAAATAAAAGCTGTTTAACAAAGTTCGCCTTTTTCCCCAAAATGTATGTTCATTGACCTAAATATCAAATTGGACAACATACTTTTATCAACCAACTTTTTCCCGATGACTCAATTGACTTATTTATTCCTAACAAAATATCAAAATAGACTTGGATATTAACTTATCTATCTATCAATTGTGGCGCCTTGATGTCTTATTTTAAAAAGCAACAAGACGTAACAAGGTATGAGCATGGTTGATATATTTATCTAAATATCGAAAAAGTTTGTATCGATACCTAGTCTAACCACTTCTCGATATCAATAAGTTCCTACCTACCTCTAGCAGTAACATAAATGTTTTTTTAACTACCAATTTGTTTTTAATCATTTAAGTTATGAAGAATAGGCTTTTAAGCTTTGTTTCATATTTGTTTCAATTTTTTTTTGTCCTTTCCATATTCTTTACTTTGCTTACTAAACTAGTTAAAGACATTTTCCCTTTCCATATTCTTTACTTTGCTTACAAAAAAAAACTCTCAACCTTTCTTTTACTATTGTTCTCTCCCGCCCCCCCCCCCCCCTCTCTTCCCTACATGAATGTTTTTAGCAATCAACTTACAACCTTTCAAATGATTTTGGACCAATTATTGTTTTCAATTTGTGGGAAAATTCGTTAAAGGGACTGTTAAGGTATAATGGAAGGTATACTGAAGCCTTGAAAACAGGAAAACTAAAAATAAAAAAATATAATATTTAAATTACGATTGGAGCGTCCTTAAAATTTTCAGATTCGTCCCTTATTTGCTTTTTATGATCTGTTTTTAGGATAATTCGGACACAGGTTTATTTTTATTTTTCGAGATAGAAATATTATTGGTCGCGATCAACTCCTAAAATGACTAGGCTTTTTAAAAAATATAAGATTATTAATAAAAACTGTTTGTCAGAACTCCGGAGATTCAAGAAGCAAGATTAGACTTTGTTCGAGAAAACTGGGAACCTAAAGAAATAAAGAAATCTAGTTAGAATCTTCTCCATATTAAACTTTTCAGAAATATGCTCTCATTTATACTGGCTAAAATTAAGGCTGTGATTCTGAGCTTAATTAAGGTAAAATTCGTTGATGTACTATTCAAAATTAAATCAAATGAAAGGGAGTGTGCGCGTAATTTCAAATGACCCTCCATGCAAAAATGGCATTTCTCGATTTACAACGGTATAATTGAAACCCTAAACTGATAAAAAATGTGGAAGATATTGTCGTTTCTGATTCATGAAGTGTTAAATTATTATAATTTCTCTATTGCTTCTTATAAGCAAGAAATGCGCACGTCACTTTTGCAAGAGAAACCGCAAAACAATAATCAGTTGAAAAAAAACATCAATGTAATTCATACTTGATCAGGCTATACTTTAAGGTTATCGCTGTAAATCAGGCATTGCCATCTTTGCATGAAATTGAGCTTGAAGTTGAGTTTACAGTCTCTTTAAGTAAAATGCTTTTCTTCTGTCCTAAAACCGTTTTCTACATTATAATTATAAAGTTTGCACTGAGCAAAGCTACATTTTAAAATCATTTTCTGTTGTTTTTTCTTCTTTAAAATAAAAGGATTTTTTAAAATTTAATCAATGTTTTAGAGAAAAGAATAAAAAATTTAAATTTACAGTTTGTGGTGACTTTTTAACTTTATTCCAATTTTGTTTTATTAGAACAAAGATGTTGATTTCTAGCCTGTAACTCTATATTTATTATCCTCGAATGATCGTATCCTTCTCAATCATGTAGGCTGTTTACATTTTGAACTATGAAAACTAACACCTTAATTTTTAATCTATCAAAGTTTACAACCACCTTGTTGCAAAGATATAAGGATTAGAAAAATTAAGTTTGAGACAAGTTATCTGTTTATATACTTCTTAACTTCCCCACATGATTTCACATTGCAAACTGTGAATACTAATAGTCAATTTTTATGGATCAAGGTAAGGTTTACATCCATCTGGTAGCAAAGATAAAGGGATCAAAAATATAAAAGGTAATTAATCCGTTACAGTTGTTTGGACGATGTCTCTGTTGTCTACGGAAGAGAAGAAACTCCGATCTTGGAACCCAGCTCACCATTACATCAATTAATAAGGAACTTTATTCATTAATAAGGATATTTCAAAAGAAAAAATACATAGCTGGGTTTATTTGGAAGAGAGGGGAGAGGACTCAGTAGTAAGACTAATGAATGAACAATAAGAATGAGCTGGTTAACTGGGATGTGTGATTAACGGGGGATGACTAAGTATAACGATGAATAAATGAATGAAGAATGAGAATGAGCCGGATAGCTGGGATGAATGGGGTGAAGGGGGAGGGAGGGATGACTGAGTATAACGATGAATGAATGAAGAATGAGAATGAGCCGGATAGTTGGGATGAATGGGGTGAAAAGGGAGGGAGGGATGACGTAAGTGTAACGATGAATGAATGAAGAATGAGAATGAGCCGGATAGTTGGGATGAATGGGGTGAAAGGGGGAGGGAGGGATGACTGAGTATAACGATGAATAAATGAAGAATGAGAATGAGCCGGATAGTTGGCATGAATGGGGTGAAAGGGGGAGGGAGGGATGACTGAGTATAACGATGAATAAATGAAGAATGAGAATGAGCCGGATAGCTGGGATGAATGGGGTAGTCCGGAAATAGTAATATCAGATAAGGAAAACTCAACTGCTCTGCCTCCTTTAGCTCTAAACAATATTGTTTTAATTTGTCAATTGAAATTCCTCTCAAATTACGTTCATATTAAACAACAGTTATGTCATAAAGTTATATCAGAAAAAATATTGTTTTGACATTTTCGCTAATTTTGTTGAAATTCATTGTTTTCGACATGACTAATTTTGCTAATCAAAGGTATTTTTTTCTATTTGAAAATAACCTAAAAGCCTAATTTATTTATTTAGGATCACAACTAACCGTACCTTGTCGCTTAAATCGGTTCCCAAAAGACAGAATACTCAATACTTTTTGAAAATGGCCTAATACATATTTAATTTTGCGTGCAATTTTTCGATATTTTTGGAGATTTGACCAGCTATTAAGAAAATTTATTCCCTTAAATATGTAAAAAATATATCAAAATGTTTTTCGTAAAATGACAAGTACAATGCGTTTCTGTGTAAATGAATTAAATTCCTCCGTTTCAATATTTTGAGTCTTGAAAAAAATCTTAAAAATTCTGTGAGTTAGAGTTTTGATTTGTAGAAACCCTCGACTACAAGTGAACATATTGAGGCATATAGACAACATTTAGCTATTACTAGACAGGTAAATAAAACAAGAAAATAGAGGCATATATACAACATTTAGCTGTTACTAGACAGGCAAATAAAACAAGAAAATAGAGGCATATAGACAACATTTAGCTATTACTAGACAGGTAAAAAAAACAAGATAAAAGAGGGATATAGACAACATTTAGCTATTACTAGAAGGTAAATAAAACAAGAAAATAGAGGGATATAGACAACATTTAGCTATTACTAGACAGGTAAATAAAACAAGAAAATAGAGGCATATAGACAACATTTAGCTATTACTAGACAGTAGACATGTAAATAAATCAAGAAAATAGAGGGATATAGACAACATTTAGCTATTACTAGACAGGTAAATGCAACAAGAAAATAGAGGGATAACCAGAAAACTATAGTATAGGAAGACGACATTATACGATACTTAAGTTTATTTGATGTTGTTACAAAGCAAATATTGTTTTAATGGACACTTATTAAATCACTGATTTAATGATTGGGTCTGTTTACAATGCACAATTACCGAGTCTTATTCTCATTCAACTTGTTAAAGTTATAACTAAATTCTAATAGTTGTTTTCATATTTTTTATAACTATTTTAATGCAACGATAAGTTTTCATTTTTTAACCTGAAAACTCAAAAATTTAGTTCACGGCAGAATTTTTAGAATGATTTTTTAGTGTACCTCTATGTAAAGTTTAGTGTACCCCTATGTAAAGTTTAGTGTACCTCCATGTAAAGTTTAGTGTACCTCTATGTAAAGTTTAGTGTACCTCTATGTAAAGTTTAGTGAATAGTTTACCTCTATGTAAAGTTTAGTGTACCTCTATGTAAAGTTTAGTGAATAGTGTACCTCTATGTAAAGTTTAGTAAATAGTGTAACTCTATGTAAAGTTCAGTTTACCTCTATGTAAAGTTTAGTGTACCTCTATGTAAAGTTTAGTGTACCTCTATGTAAAGTTTTGTGTACCTCTATGTAAAGTTTAGTGTACCTTATTGTAAAGTTTATTGTACCTCTTTGTAAAGTTTAGTGTACCTCGATGTAAAGTTCAGTGTACCTCTATGTAAAGTTTAGTGTACCTCTATGTAAAGTTTAGTGTACCTCTATGTAAAGTTTAGTGTACCTCTATGTAAAGTTCAGTGTACCTCTATGTAAAGTTTAGTGTACCTCTATGTAAACTGTAGCTTGCACGATTCACAATGGTAGCTTATAAACCTATATAAAATATCGCCGTTTTTCTAATTTAAAAAATTGTAAAATTCTGATCATTTCCTTTCTTACTTCTGTAGCACAAATATGCAGGCCACCTCAAAGAAACCATAATTTAAAATAATCAAATTTCCTGGGTGGAAGAAAGATATCTAATGATTGATTTTTGAGCAGAAATGTTTTGAGCAGAAGATGCAAGGTTGTTTTCATTCTGTTAATTTCATTCCTTCTCTCCATGCCGCACCGGCAAAGAAATTGAGCAGTTTTCAGATAAAAAAAAGAAAAGAAATTTTTTTTTCCTTTTGGTTCAAATGAAGGATTAAAGGGAAACATTGTCGTTCGGACATAATACGACACTTTCTAACTAGAGAGTCACTTGAAATTACGTCTACAGTCCTGCCCTACCATACGATTATACATGCTTTGCAGACTTCATTTGAATAAGAACTATAAATTGTCTGATGTATATTTACTACGTATACAATAACCTATTCTGAATATTTCATATTCAAATAGAGTACCCGTCTGCAAAGCATGTTTAATCATATGGTAGGGCGCACACTAAATTAAAAGTGGTTTGGGGGGTTTTGTTATCTAATTTTTATTTATGTTTGTCTTCAATGTAAAATATCTTTTTGAGAAATAGACTTCAAATCAATATCTATCATGTTAACTTCTAGGCCAGAAAAGGAAATAATTGTGGATCTCTGAGATTTCTTGAGTCAAGGAATCTTTATAAGAAAATCAGCGAAAACTAGTCTGGTTTGGTTTGATCAAGATTATGATTAGGTTTCAACTTTATCCTTGGTTATTTTATAAGATACTTACAGTGCAGAAACATTGCCAGTGAATAGTGGTTCCGTTCAGCTTATTCTATCAGGTCATTCTTATAGTTATTCATCAATATTTTAGATCTGTACATCCGTCATCCCAAGCAAAAAGAAATATGTTTAGTATATTTTATCAGGTCATTCTTCTAGTTATTCGTCAATATTTTAGATCTGTACATCCGTCATCCCAAGCAAAAAGAAATATGTTTAGTATATTCTATCAGGTCATTCTTCTAGTTATTCATCAATATTTTAGATCTAAACATCCGTCATCCCAAGCAAAAAGAAATAATTATCCCAAATATGATTTGATGATGTAAAAAAGGGATGTCTTATTCACAACGTTACCTTTGAAAGCTTTATCAGTTTAACAATGAACCAGTTATTCATGATGTCTCCTTAAATTACTTATTTGAATTTCTCGATGCAGAAGCAATTGGACAGAATTTTGAGAATTCAACATTTTTTAGCCAGAAAAACGAGGAGATATTTCATATTGTTGGATCAGATAAAGGTTTAAAGGGTATCTTTGTAAAACTGAAATGACCCTCTTTACAAAAATGTTTTAGGTCGTGCTATTCATTATTTCAACACCGAGGCGTTTTATGCAGAAGTTGACAGAGTTCTAGTTAAATATGGAGTTCTTTGCTACTATAGTACACACTTCCCAATTATATCAAGGTATATAGTACACACTTCCCAACTATATCAAGGTATACAGTACACACTTCCTAGCTATATCAAGGTATACAGTACACACTTCCCAACTATATCAAGGTATACAGTACACACTTCCCAAATATATCAAGGTATATAGTACACACTTCCTAGCTAAATCAAGGTATACAGTACACACTTCCCAACTATATCAAGGTATACACTACACACTTCCCAACTATATCAAGGTATTCAGTACACACTTCCCAGCTATATCAAGGTATACAGTACACACTTCCCAACTATATCAAGGTATACAAGTACACACTTTCAACCTTTAAAAGTATTGTAATGCTACATTTTATTTTGTTTTTTGTTTCATTGTAATTTTGATTTAGTTCCAATTTTAAATATGGTGAGAAAATAAACAAGATTTTTTGGACCTATCTCATCGACCGTTTAGACGGTCATTGGCCGGTAAACAAGTTTTCGGGTCACGTGATTAGCTGGCGCCGACGAGATTTCTACATGAACACCTTGGCTCCTCCCTACCCAGACCACACTCGTGCTATAGAAAATATTATACAACAACGTGGGACGTCGGTCATAGGTATTTCACGCGGCATTTTGTATTATCATTAAATTGATTTTTCTGATCTTCTTCTTAAAAAAGTAAATTGATTTTATTGATCTTCAGTTTAAAAAAGTAAATTGATTTTAATGATCTTCAGCTTAAATAAGTAAATTGATTTTAATGATCTTCAGCTTAAAAAAGTAAATTGATTTTAATGACCTTAAGCTTAAAAAAGAAAATTGATTTGAATGATCTTCATCTTTAAAATAAATTGAGTTAAATGATCTTCATTTTAAATAAGAAAATCGATTTTAATGATATTCATCTTAAAAAAGAAAATTGATTTAAATGATCTTTATCTTGAAAAGAAAATTGTTTTTAATGATCATTATCTTGAAGAAAATAGATTTTAATGATCTTCATTTTAAAAAAGAAAATTGATTTGGATTATCTTCATCTTATAAAGAAAATTGATGATCTTCATCTTGAAAAGAAAATTGATTTTATTGATCTTCATCTTAAAAAGAAAATTGATTTTATTGATCTACATCTTATAAAGAAAATAGATTTTATCGTTTTTTACTTTATTTTTAAATTTTCTAGCTCTGTCGAAGGAGCTGGAGACGTACTCCCCCATGGTGAACCTGAGGTTCACTAGGAATATACCTTAAGCAATTAACTCTTCCAAGCAATTATATTTAAACAAATTGTTATTCATTTATGTTATTTGATCCGGATCGGTTTATAGAAACAAAAAATTAATGAACTATTTGATTTTTAGAAAAATGAAGTCTCTAAGAACATGCTTACGCATTCATCAGTCCGCTCTAAATTCATGTTGTTTAGTTAAACCTTGTTCCACTTACTCAAATGAGAAACAGACACATTTCGGATTCAAAGATGTCGGAGAGAAAGAAAAAAAAGAAGCGGTTTTAAATGTATTTCATAGGCAGGATCAATGTTCAAAAACTTTTACCATTTGGATTTATTGAATTAAATTTAGAATGTCTATTTCACCCTCTAAAATCGAAAAGGTGAAGAATGTTTTTGGGTCCTATTACTCAGCGTAGGTTTAACAATTGTTTTAATTGAAGCCCAGTTAAAGAGATATTTTTATTAATAAAGCTGTTCTTAAGTTATTGATCTTGTAGTGTTGCTGATACGTATGATCTAATGAACGATGCAATGTCTCTGGGAATTCATCGGGTCTGGAAAGATGAATTCATGAAAACATTAGCTCCTGGTCCCAGGTAGCATTCAAATAATAAGAATGGATGTTAACTGGTTTTTGGATATTTATTTTTCTCTATCACTTATTTAAAGAATTTTGCAGAGGAAAGTACGTGGATATATCAAGAAAAACGTAAACAAAACCTTTAAGATATTCAAATGATTGAAGCTAATCCATGGGATCACAAAGGGTTAGTGTTTCTGAAGAAATTAACAAATGAAAACTCGCTATACTTTGTTTCAAAACATGGATGATTTCAAAGCATTGAACTTTCATCTGTTTTAGAACAAAGTTGCTTGATGTGGCGGGGGGAACTGGAGATATATCTTTCAGGTGGGATGTTTACAAATAAATATATTTTATCAACGAATAGTTATCTTTGTTAAACACTACTGGTGTATATATCTCCCCCCTTTCTATATATATAAATCCTCTCTTCCTCGTTTAGGTAAACATTTGTTGGTAGGTTTTTATTTAGAAGAAATTCGGAAGATAAATTAAAATATATTGGTTAAAAAGCATCTTAAAAGAGGAAAATCTTGTTAGTTCCTGGCTCAATTTTTCATCCCCCTTCCCACTTAAAAAAAAAACTTTTTTTTAAATCGTGTACCTTTGAAACTCTATCTTTAGAATAAGGTATCTACATGCTGAGTGCTGACAATGATTTTCCTTATTTTAGATTCCTTGATTATGTTGGGATGGATGCTCTAAATGCCGAGGACGGAGCACATGTTGTCAATATTCACTATTTTAGATTCCTTGATTAAGTTGGAAAGGATGCTCTAAATGCTTAGGAAGGAGAACATGCCGTCAATATTCCCTATTTTAGATTCCTGGATTATGTTAGAAAGGATGCTATAAATTCTAAGGAAGGAGAACATGTTGTCAATATTCCCTATTTTAGATTCCTTGATTATGTTGGAAAGGATGCTCTAAATTCTAAGGACGGAGAACATGTTGTCAATATTCCCTATTTTAGATTCCTTGATTATGTTGGAAAGGATACTCTAAATGCTGAGGAAGGAGAACATGTTGTCAAAATTCCCTATTTAAGATTCCTTGATTATGTTAGAAAGGATGCTCTAAATTCTAAGGAAGGAGAACATGTTGTCAATATTCCCTATTTTAGATTCCTTGATTATGTTAGAAAGGATGCTCTAAATGCTGAGGACGGAGAACATGTTGTCAATATTCACTATTTTAGATTCCTTGATTATGTTGGAAAGGATGCTCTAAATGCTGAGAACGGAGCACACGTGACAGTTTGTGATATTAATAAATCTATGCTTGGTGTTGGAGAGGCTAGGGCACACAAATTAGGTAGATCCATCTCAATGGTCTTTATGATAACGGATAAAATCAGGCAACGCCGCCTTATGCGGAGACTGCACGCCGCTTCAACCATGTCGTCCAAACAGTTCTGGAGATTAGTCAGAAGAACAGTTAAAAAGAAAGGGGTACTTTCAGCTGTTAAGGATGAACATGGGAGGCTAGCTACAGATAGAACACGAATAGAGGAGATATTTTTTTTTAAACATGACTTTATTAATATATATTCTGTGGAGTTTATTGTAATTTGATCCAGAATTGCTAAAAGACAATAAGTATTTTTGGCTGAGACACACTTCTTAACTCATTTATAATTTAAGAATTGCAATAAAAGTATTTTCGATGGTCTGGGGAAAAATTGTGAAAATTTGAACATTAAAGGGCTGGTTGTTTCATCCTTTTAAAAACTTTTTACCCTAAAAATCATTTAATTTTAGATATTTTCCTTAATATTTGTTGTTTATACTAGGGCATAGTTCTGGAATAAGCTGGGTGGAGGGGGACGCACAAGAACTTCCTTTTCCAGATAAATCATTCGACTGCTACACTATTGCCTTTGGTATCAGGTATTTGAACAATTCTTACACTACACAATAGTTACAGTACACTAGAAATAATTCTTATGTTGTCAAACTTTTCATCAAACTGAAAAACTGCAGTTGAAAATAATTATCTTTTAAACTAGAAAAGCGCGAAAGTTGTCGTCTTTTTTGATATTTTAATGGAGACACTACTAAAATAGATGCCCAGAGCTGGCAGCTTTTGTGTTGGATAGTGATAATCCTGGAATCTCATTGAACTCGATATCCATAGTGGGCACTTTTAATTTAAGTATTTATAAAAAACTGAGTTCGATTACCATGTGCTGGGATATCAAATACAGATTAAATTAATCTACAGATCAACAAGGATTGAGATCAAGCAATAATCCCGATATCCAAAAAAACAAGAGTTCCTACCTCAGGATTTATTTTATTTTGATGTGGATCCCGGATCCATTTTGTACAAAATAGGTTTACCTAAAAAATTTCGCGTCATTTTTATTCTTCCTCAATATTTTGTTACTAAACTTGAGTGGATAATGGATATGCGAAATAAAAAATCTCATCTCATATATGTCAAAACTTACAAAAAAATGTTTTTGTTGAAATTTTCCCGCTTGATTCGAATCTACTTAATCTTGAACAGTATCTAAAATATATCCTACTTTAAGAACGCTTCGCGCCTCTCTTCTTTAAATTGTGGCTCTATCTGTGAGAATCTTCACTTTGTACAACATAAAACAAAAACAAAAAAGTTTTCCGGTTTGAAAATATTTGTTCGCAAATTTTCCAAGTTTTACCACAATCAAAAACTGTTAAAAATACATTTTTGTAATTTCAAGCATTCATAACCTTTCCATGGGTCATTTGAGGTCCCACAGAAAATTTGAGCCTGATCAGTCGGTTCAGTCGTCCGTTTATTAGACACAAACGGACAGCCAGACAGACAGACAAGCAAAGTATATATATAGATTCTAAAGATGATTGGAAATAATTAAATTTAGAATTTACTTTTTATTTATTTCCTGTTTTTAAAGGAACGTTGTACGAATAGATCTGGCCTTAACTGAAGCCTTTAGAGTATTAAAACCTGGAGGTAGATTTATGTGTCTAGGTAATATTTTCTCAATTTTAATTGCAATTAGTTAATTTACAATTAAAAAATGACAGAAAGATCTTGAATATCAAATTATTCTTTAGATTATTTTAAATCACATTAATTGTTTTATTAACCTATTTATTTGAACAATTTATTTCTAGTTACAACCTCCCCCTCTACTTTCACCGCCCATGATTTTATAAAGTTTAATATGAAATTTTTTTGAAATTCTAATTTGAAAAATCTTATGTTCAATTTTTGTTTGCAGAGTTTAGTAAGGTTACTCCCCCTGAGCTTGAGAGCCTTTACGACTTTTACTCATTCCAGGTATTTATCTATCTATTTATCTATCTATCATTTTGATCCGTTCTATTTATCTATTCATTTGAGTATCTATTTATCTATATATCAATTATTCAATTTATCAATTTATCAATTTATCAATTTATCAATTTATCAATTTACCAATTTAGCAATTTAGCAATTTATCAATTTATTAATTTATTAATTTATTAATTTATCAATTTATCAATTTATCTATCTATCTATCAATTATTTTGATTCTATTATTTATCCATTTATCTATTTTTTAAAAATCTTTTTAGCCGTCTAAATCCGTCTCTATATATATATATATTTACAAAGTTACCCATAAAAGATGAGACTGTAAAGACGACTTGAATTTCTTAAAATATGACTTATTAGATGATTTTGATAAAAAAAGAATCAAGTTTGAAGTTTCAGGGAACTATAAACATATGGAAATAAGCAGTGTAAATCTCGTACAGTCGTCTTTGAAGTCTCCCTCTTTGCGGATAACCTTGTTTATCTGTTCTCCATCTATCTATCTATTTGTCTCTTATCTATCTGTCTAATATCTGTCTTTTATTTATCTCTAGCTATATATCTATATGTTTTCTTTTATCTGCCAATCTTACTCTTCTTTCTATTTATCTGTCATCTATCTGTCTACTATCTATCTGAATCTCTGTTTATCTATTTATCTAGATCTATTTTTATCTATCTATCTATCTGTTATCTATCTATTTATCTATTTATCCTTCCAGGTGATCCCTCCGATGGGTAAACTGTTGGCAGGGGACTGGGACTCATATCAGTACTTAGTAGAAAGTATCAGGTAGGAACACAACACATAGAAAAAAATGAAAAATATTAAAAATATCATTTTTGATATTTTCAGAAATAAATAACGTCAAGAAGCAGTTCCGTGCCAACATTTTTATTGTTAACTATAACGCTTACATTTTTGATGAAAATATAATCATTTATTGAAAGCTAGGGAAAATGAAGACCCATCCGCCCCCCCCACACACACAAACATAAGCAAGCATATATTAGAAAAGGTTTTCTCAAATTTGTTGAATTTAAGTTATAATACATTTAAAAAAATAAAAATTATTATGTGTTAATATTTTAGGAAGTTTCCTGACCAAGAAAAGTTTGCCGGAATGCTGAAAAATGCCGGATTTCGTTTCGTGAAATATGAAAACTATAGTTTTGGTGTAGCAGCTGTCCACTCAGGATACAAGTTGTAAGATAAAACATTTTTCAACATTTGATAAATTTTTACTAGGAGATAATTTGAAATATTCATATTTTCAGACAGAAATGGCCAAATCGCTGTGGAATTTGTCGTCAGAGGTTGCAAAATATGCTCTAGTAAGTTAATTCTTTAAAGGGAGTGTTCGCGATACTTAGAATTGGGTAATGGGAATGAGCTAATTCCGAATTGAAATTTTTTCATCTAATGTTTAAGTAATGAGAAAATTGTCTGATTAAATATCAATTAAACCTCAATGTTTTTGTATCTTTGAACTGTTCTGGTTTCTCTGTGAAATATACCAATGTAAGTCGGGCAGAGCCATGGAGGGTCACTTAGAATTACGCTTACAGTCCTTTAAAACTTGTTTATTAATTTAGGCACGTCCCCCGCACCCTAAAGAAATTGTGAAACATGCTGTCAACTTTCTCGAGTATGTATAAATAAACAAAGTTCTAAAATTATTTACAATTTTATGTTAAAAATAAAACAAAATAATGTTTTTATTAAACTTTTAATAAGAATTAATTATGTAGTGAAGAGTACAGGGGACCTAAGTATCAGGCCTTAGACGTAGGATGTGGAAGCGGGATAAGGTAGATATCGTGAAACAATTTTTGTCCCTGCCTCTCTTCGGAAATACCTCTCCTCCAAAANGGGGGGGGGCAGAGGGAACTTCCATTTAAAGAAGGGCATGTCCGATTCACAACCACAACTTTAAACCCTTGTTTTATCAGACCTGAAGCAGAATTCAGCATGTCACTTAATAGAGAAACCACAGTTGATAACACTCAATTTTCTATTGACGTTTTTAAGGGTTCCGTTGTGAATAAGATATGCCACTCTGTTAATGAAGAGTCACTTGTTATGTCGTCTTCAGTCTAAATTCACTATTTAATTATTCTCTACTCTACGTTTCACATACATGACCAACACAAATATTTTAAAAGTTGGTTAAAGGGACTGGAAGCGTAATTTCAAGTGACCCTCCATGCAAGGAGGGAAACGCCCGTTTTACACATATATTTCTGTACTCGACTAACACAGAAAGGTTTAAGGGTACCGTTGTAAATCTGGCATTTGTCTCTTTGCATGGAGGGTCACTTGAAATTACGCTTACACTCCCTTGAAGGGGTGGGGTAATCACTTTATGTAGTGTAATATTATTAAAGTTATGTAATATGACCAATTAACTAATAATTGTTCAGTACAAGAAATTTATTTGGAGAGTTTCAAAATGTTCTTGGCCTAGATGCTAGTTCAGAAATGATCGATCAGGTAAATGGATTTTCAAATAAATCTGATTTTGTGAAAGTATTCAATTATTCAATATAATACTTTCTTTGTTATCATTGTCAATATCTTATCTTGTTTGTTGTAGATCGTTGTTGACACCTTTTTAGAAACGCATAAATAATCCAGTGCATATGCATTGGATCCATTTCATTTTTATGTTGATCCCGATCCTTTATGCTGATCCCGATCCTCGCTGGAAAAAAATGGATCCAGGTCGTGACATTTCTCAAGATTTGCGATTTTTTTTTACAAATGAAATTTGGAAATTTTTGTTGATCTATTATTAGTGAACAATTTTGATTTTTGGTTTTGAGAGACAAATTTCGGTTTTGGTTGGTATTTTGCCCTATGGATCCGCACATTTTTACGGATCCGGATTCAGGAGGCCAAAATGTTGTGGCTCCAACGGATCCGGATCCTAAGCACTGCAATATTCTATAAAGTAAGAAAGATTAATGACCAGGGAGTAAGGAATAGAAGGGAGATATAACTGACGCTGTTCGCCCTACCATACGATTATACATGCTTTGCAGACTTCATTTAAATAAGAACTATAAATTTTCTGATGTATATTTACTACTGTCGGAAATCCTATCATTTAGTACGGCGGGAGTCTGTACAATAATAACCACAATGACTGGAATGTGAAAGGAAAATGTTCACAAATCCGTGCTCACAAGTATGCTTGTCATAAAGTGTTCAATTACATGAAATTTGGAAGTAACCAAAACAATTTCGTCATTACCCTCACTGTCAAGTTTACCTTGCGACAAATTATTGTTCCACTAACATTAGTGTTGGATAACTTAGTTGGTTTTCAAACGGTTCCTTTAAGCTTACGGTACCAGCACAAATTTATAGTCGTCTTACTCTCAGAGTGTATATATATGTCGTCTTAATTTTAAAGAACATATAAGCGACCATTCTCAGAACTGATGTACTTTAATGAGTGTTAGGGTAAGATTGTGTGGAGGTTTATCTAGCCCTTTGTGGTTCACCCGGGGAGTTAAACAAGGTTGTGTTCTCTCTCCCCTGCTCTTCTCCTTGTACATATCAGGTCTTGGAAAGGTCCTGCACTCTATGAAAGAGGGGGTTAACTTCAATGGAGTATATATTACCGCGCTATTTTTTGCAGATGACCTTGTTCT